CCGAGCACGAATGTTGGAGTACCGCGGAGAATCGGTGAAGAGATACCTGATCAAGAGAACATACATGTTGTAGTACGACGTGTGTCGAAAAACGATATTTTCCTGTCACTCCATACTCACAGCTTTGGAATGCTTCCCTACTCCAAGCAGATGGAGCTGTGGATTGACAAGGATGGGATTGAGAGTAGGATAACCAACTGGAAAGACGCTAAACGGTGGGCTGGTCTATGTCGAAGCAACATTGGATCCAACGACGACGAAAACAAGGCCGACGGAATCATGGACTCGTGGAAGTTGAAACCACATTTCACTCTCAAGATGACTCACGATTACCCGATCGCATGCGTGGATTTCATGGAATCTCAAGGAAAAGAGGCTATCAAAAAGAGTCTCCAGAATCTTGAAACTGGTCTTAGGAAAAATAGCGATGACGGCATCCGCGGGATGTTGTCGGCCACAGCGGACTTCGGCACAACCTCGTAGACTATATAGTACATCCAGGATATATGACGCAACATGTACGACGAGGCGTTACGCGGATGGTGGGCTTAACCCCAGACAAAGTTAAGTGCTCTCGGTAGGCTTTGAACACGTTAGCCGTTGCTCCGCTGCACGCGACCGAATCCACGTATACGCCTAGATAGTGGCTCTGTAGTTGTAGACCTTAGGCAGCGAGCGATGAAACTCAAAATGAGATGGGTACATGACTAGCAATGGTCATGGGCCGGAAGGAGTTAGAGTCGCCCAGCTACGCTTGAAGCACTTGTCTGCGGACATCGGCGCGGACCACAGCAAACTTGATTACCATACAGACTGCATCTCAGGCGATCAATATCACATGCATTTGCGCGGGTTAACAGAAGGAAACATTGTTATTCATGGTATCGTGCACTGTAAATAGAGATTATCGAATCTTAGGTACGCAGTCGAAGCAGTCTATATCGTCAGTTCCGCCAACTTGACATCCACCAACGACGTTTTCGAACCCGACGCACTATCCACCCTCGATGTCTTCATCAGCGCAACCCCCAACAGCGCATCTTCCATGCCACCGAGCAGACTGGCCGCCTGCTCCTTATCCCAATAGCTCTCGTTGAAGCAGACGCTAAGGACGAGTTGGCCCTCCCAGATCCACGTGTGCACCATCATGCGCATCGTCAGGGTTTCAGCGCCCAACCAAAAGTCTCTGACTTTAACAAGTCCGTCGCCGATGTTCTTGCTGACCTGCTCGTCTACTTCGCCCAGGAAAGCAAAGCGGGGTTGCGGTGATCCGTCCGCCTCGCACTTCTTGACGTACAGCGTCTCTTCGAGGCGCTGGTGGAAGAATGGCGACGACGGGAGGTACGGCGCGTAGCCGGCGGCATAGACGGGTGCGAGTTGCGAGTAGTAAGAGTCGAAGTCGGTTTCTGGCGAGACGATGACTTCCGTGGTGATGACGCTGGTGTAGCTTGTGGGCGAATTCTCTGGCGCCGCGCCTTCTGGGATCAGAGTGCGGAGGTTGGAGTGGAACGAGGCCATGAAGCTTCGTGCTTCTTTTGTTTGTGCGAGTTTGGCAACGGAGCTGATGAGGGCGGCGTGGAGAGCGACGTCGATGGCCAGAGCGCGCGTCTCGCAACTGTCCATGACGGTCTTGGTGTCGCGCTTGGACAGCTTGACAAAGTGTCGCTGAGTGTATCCCGGTCTCTGCGATTTCATCGTGGGTGTCAGCTCCAGGGCTGGCTTGTGGGGCTCTAGTGCTGCGAGACGGCTCTCAGCTTGCGCTTCAATCTCCGGTGTCTTCTCGTGCCCGATTCCAAGCGTCAACTCCATGCTCGGCGTTAGGTTCTTGGCGCACCCGCCAAAGACTAGGTTAGGGTTCATATTGGCCAGAGACTCGACGAGGTGGTTGAGGCAGAAGATTGCGCCGCGGGCGTCGACGCGGTAGTGCGGGGACCAAATCATGACTTCGGATGTGTCGGGCAGGAAGTAGCACATCATCTGTTCATTCCGTGGAATCCGTCCCAGCAGTTCATCAACAGTCTTGCCCTCGGCGACGGAGAATGTGGCCGAGACCCACAAGGCGATGGAGGGTTCGTCTCCGACGCGGTAGATGTATCGACCGTTGTATGGGAATGCGGCAATCTCTGGATGGTTGTAGCGGACTTGTTTCCAGGCCGTCCGCAGGTAGGCAGCAGGGTCTTTGATGTCGGGGTGGAATTCGAGTTTGGCAACGGCGTTCTTGGCCCAGTTGTCGCGGCCGATGGCGTTGGGGACGTTGCGGGTGAGTATGTTGATTCTCTCGAGGTAGGTTTGCGCGCGCTCCCAACGACCTGGTCGGGTTTCTTTCCAGGTAGCGTCCTCCATGATCGTTGAGTGAGGCAGGAGTAAGGGTCAAGAGAGGATGAGTAGTAGTCACGACAAGACTTTGAGCCAAGAGAAGAGGTTGGGCCAAGAGAGGAGGAGATGTCGAGAGAAGAGTATGAGCCAAGAGAGGAAGAGACAAGAGATGACAAGAGAATATAAGACAACTCAAGAGTTGGAGAACAGGTGGGCAAGTGCAGCCGATATATCGTGCCGCTTCCTGGGGTACGGTCTCACATATATAGTTAAGTGGGCCGCCGTTACAACCGTGGAGTTCAAGCTGCGGATATCGAACGATTCCAGCGGCGTTACGTCGGTGTAGAGATGCGGAAGCGCTAGTCCTGGCGAAGAGGTTCTTTCACCGTTGATACTACACACCACAGTTCAGCTTGGGCGAAGACAACTTGGGAAGGGCCTTTTCCTGCAGCCACCAAATACACTTGGCCTGAGTAAATGACCTTCAGTGGAAGCAATATTCTACGCTTGTGTGCACGGGCGCACTTCGGGTTTCGACCGCTGCGTGTTCTGGACGAGTCTGGGTCGTGGTGTCGAGACATATAGCCAAGGATGCGGGTCGAGGCGAACGGCCCGCTGCAAGCTACGTCTAACCTTCCCATCGCGCATCGCCGTCGTCATCATTGCTTTTTGTTCGCGTCGAGGTCGCTCAATTCATCGCTGTATAACAGGAATACTTTTGTTGATAATGGGACATGAGTCTGCATCGTGTATGTCGAGGGTTCACCGTAAGCCCGATCATAGTCTCATACCTAGAGTGACCTAGACGTCGTTAGCGTATCCATGTCAAACTTTACTCACACTAATAAACCGGAATTTCTTCACGATCTGTGGAAATCGATTTTGTGCGACAGATCGTAGGCTGAAGAGGGTTTGTAGAGAAAGGTCGTGAAAGTAAGAGTATTAGCAGTACACCATCGGAGTACTATATCCGTGCGCGAGGTCGAATGAGCCGTCGTGCGCAACGCGCCACTCTACGCTCTCGAGGATTTGTAAGTATGTGGTAATGCATTCAGTGAGTACAGTCCAGAGAGATGCCGGAGAAGGACATGGAGTACAGTCGAGGGTTCGCAGCAAGGTGTTAACGATGACGGGTAGAAAGAGTAGCAAGAGGAAGAAGAGTGTCGTCGTGTGTGGTACAGAATTAGGACAATAAGGTTCGACAGGCGCCAACACGGTGGTGAGGCGTGAAGACCGACGTCATAGCGTCGATGGGAACGGCTAGCTGCTCCTTGAAACACTGCCATTATCGATAGCGGCAACGCCGACGTGAGCACCAACAACCCAACGAGTGCACCACCTACGACATCGCGACTAGACCGTTCCCCGCCGACAGTGAAATAATATACGAATGCGAAGTCAGTGACCACGGTCATCCTGTGCGCGTCGCAACACCCCTCATACCCGCACTGACCCCAGGGACTGGACTACGGGCCCCATACTCCACGGTCCAGTACTAGTCCCTATGGTCTCCGCAACAGTTTCTAGTGGCCTCCACAACACACCGTGATGGCCGGCAATGCCGAACTTTTTCTCCATCGGACATCCCAAGACCAAGGATCTGAGAGACGCTCTGCGCGCTGCCCAAAACACATCCGCAAGACACGTTGCTTCCAAGCCTCGGGCACTTACCCATGGCTCAACCCGCAAGAACTGAGCGCTCGACTCCTTATCCGCCCTACACACCGGTTCCCAACGAAGCAGAGGTTCTAGGTACCAAATCCCCTTGCCGGGTGTCTTAGAGCCGAGGTATCGCAAACGTAGGGACAGCATTCACCATATCACATGTCTGAGTTCCTACCATCGTCGATGCGCATCTGCGTGCCCTCTCAACGACCGTGGCCTCATGGAACAAGACCAACCGCCGCCTTCTGACTACACCCCAGCGCATATGCTGACACACATTGACAACGGCATAGATGCGGATACGATTATACGGGTGTGCGCAATGCAAACTGCACTGGGATACTGATGTCACCCAGAGCATGATGAACCGTCCTCTTTCGGCGCGATGCACTCCCGTATACCTCCGCGAACTTCCGCAGAACGCGCGATCGAACATGCGCCACGGTGCACGACAGAAGACAACGTCGCGATATAACTGGGCAACAATTGTGTGGAGACGTTATCTGGTCATCTACGAAATGGCCTGGGTATAGCGAACAGTAGAAGATGGCACAGTGATCTCGGCATAAAGTCTGGAACCGCACTCGTTGGGTCGTTGCTGCCCACGTCGGCCTTGTCGCTATCCATGAAGGTTGTGCTCCCAATCTTCACATCGTTGCGTAAGCAACGTGAACTGCAATGGTCGGCAGTTCACGTCCTATTGCGCATTCCCGAGCGGGAGCTTGTGGTCTTGACATCGTTGCAATCTCGACACGAACATTAAATTCAGCAGCCATGCCTGCCATCGCGAATGCGTATCAAGGACCCAGCTGACAGCATGAAACTCGCTTCGTCCTACACATACCTCCCGGTTGAAATCATCACGTAGGTATCGACGCAGGATCAGAAGAGTTATGCACGATGTGTAATTCTAGGGCACATTGCCGGGCTTGTCCAATATGTTGGAACTACTGAATATCCTCGTGCTGCTGTGGAGAGTCATGAGAGCGGGTATAGCTATATCCCCTTTAATAAAACACTTAACAGAGTGACTTGGCCCTGTCGAACAAGCGCCGATCTCTCGCGCGTGCCACCGAGAACTTGATGGTCATCCCATGTGCTAGATAGCCGTTCGACATCATAGTCAGGATACTTGTGTGGTTGACATGTGCGTGTTGTGACGGGTACACGGTCTTAAGTTCGCGCTTCATCCCGACACTCAGCGCTTTCCGCATATTGTCTTTCGCGGCCAATCTTTCGTACTCCGTGTGGTCACAGAATGGAGCACCGATCCCAAATTTTCGCTTGTGTAGCGGTCCCAGTGGGTGGCTTAGGAGTCGAATCCGAATCTCGCAGATCTTCCTCAGCGCCATTCTTCTCAAAGTCTGTTTCACAAACTTGTGCAAGTGCTTGGTCTTGCACTTGATCTGGGCACTGGAAGCCTTCATACTCCCGTTTTGTACTTGCTGCGGTAGATACGTATCGTTGTACCAAGACGCAATCTTCAGACTGACGTATTTGACCGCGGTACTGTGCTTTTGTGGTCCATCCAGGCACGTACGCAGTTGCTTGCCGGCGAGATGAAAAGTATCCGAGAGCGCGACATACACAGGGTCTATCTCAGCGCGCGTCGGGCCGAGGATCATCTTGGGCGCAAGCTCGTCGTTGACTTTCTGTAACGGCTTCTGCACCGCGGGATGCTTCACTTCTTCGTATATAGTCTTGTTGAGTTGAAGGAGTGCGGTGGGCATCCGACATACTTCCCAGCTGCAGATGCCCGGCTCGGGGAAAACGGGATCGTAGACGATGTCTGCTAGGTAGTTGTAGATTTGGCAGCGCAGTTCGGTTAGCAGGGCCATGAATGGAGAGGACGCTGTACCATCTACCGTAGCTGTGGTTGGTTGTGGGCTTTGATAGAGTCGTCGTTGGGGCTTTCTCTTCTTGACGTTGCTGTTGGCGGGTGTCTCATCGCCGGCCGGCTTATTGAGAGGATGTGTGCGTGTAGAGGTGCCGCCTGTCTTAACTCTCTTAGCAGGCTTCGCGGTCGTGATTGCTTCGTCCTTTCGCTTTGGAGGCATCGCGACGGTATTGGGCAAGGCTTCTCGTGCGCCGCGTCGCCAGGTGTTGGCATTAGCTCGAGTTGATCTAGGATGTTAAGTGTGTCGACAAGAACGAGATGAAAGAGGAAGACGCAGTTATCATATATATTTCGAAAATTTGCTGTTTCGGTTCTGTGGTTGAGCCGTTCCAACTTGCTCGATGCTGACCAATGCAACACCCACGATACATGGCTGAAGCCTGAAGGTACCGTTCATGAGCAGAACTCGGTACCAATCAGCTTTGCGCAAGATGTCAAATATGTGTTAGCGTAACTGGCTGATAATATAGAGACATGAACAATGAAGACTGTATGATGAATGATCTCTGCGAACGTCGTCATAAATTCGTCCAGTTGGTGTTGCAAGAAACGGCATGTGCTTACAACACCAACTAGATGGATTCAGGAACACATTAACAGTGCTCGATTAGACATCAAGAAGAAGTCCCGACCAGTATAGCATATGGGCGCATCGCCGTCGGAAACCATTTTACAGAGTTGAGGATACTATACTACACAGGATACTTTTGAAACAAGAACTCTGTATCCCATTGATGTCTTAGTGCTTCTTCGCGTCCTTCTCTTTCTTCTTCTCCGCGATCAGCGCATTCAGCCTGAGAAACGACGTGAACCCTTCAACGAGACACGTACCCACCCACTTCCACCAGACCGCATCAAGGAATGTGCATCCGTGTGTTGCAAGCTTCCTCGACATGATGATGGCTTCGATTATGTGGATAGGTACCGTGATGGCCCAAACCGTGAAGCCGATTCGAGCGACGAAGCTCGCGAAGCCAGGCACAAGATACAACACGGTGTCGTAGAGAAGCGATCCAGGCTGCCAGTTTTCTGGCCGCGGTAGCAAGAGCAGGGCAAGCACGCATTGCGTAAAGTTCCACAGATGAGCAGGATGCGTGTACGCAGGAACGAAGTTCGTGACGGCGATGTCGCTTCGACCCAGAGTCTGGAGAGCGTCTTTGTCCATTTGAACAAGCCGCTCGCGAGCCTCGCGCATGGCCTTCATCGGCGGATCGAAGGCGATGACAGCTTGTTGCCCACCACAGCTCAAGACCATCTGGTTCAGATCAATGTCGACCATCTGCGCCGAGCGACTCTGCATCATAGACTTGGAAGCGTACGCTTCGACATACCGGCGTATCTAAGGTCAAGATTAGGACTGGAGTTCGATTTCGACATCAATGGTGCATGAAGTGGGTGGCGCGTACGGAGTCGTGGTGGTCTGCATTCATGTGCTTAATGATCCGCTGCTTTGCGGCTGCATCTGCAGCTTCTGGGGATGTCATGCTGGACTGGTAGTATCTTGGTGTCCGATTGACTGGTTGCTCTCGTTGAGCTCTGGAGAAGGTGCGTATGGAAATGCCGTCGTCACGATACCCGCCAGACCGGCGCAATTCGGGCCGGCCATCGGGGAAGATCTGGTGCGCCCCGCGATTGCGTCTTCCCAACGATCCTTAGCACAGCGCTCGTGATATCGAATTTATCGCGGGATTCTTTCGACGCTGCGCTACCTCAGATCTATTGTGCGCGCTACGAAGACACGTTCTTATTTCTACGCCAGCAGTGCCAGCACTAAACGGTCTCCCGCATCCTATGGGTAAACGTTCCGCCCGACCACTGATCGAGGCCTCGCCCGTGCCACAGCATGTCCCAAAGCGTTGATGTCAAGCGCATTCAGCTGACGCGTTGCTCGATGCATCGCTGCTGGGCTTGGTGTTCGCGCCAATCACGAGTAAGCGAGACCAGAGGCACACGAGCTCGCAGCGCATCGGGTTGAGCGGAACAGCTAGGCTGTCGCAAGCACGATTTCAGATCTAAAATAATCAGGTTGGCAGCGCGCAGGGATGGGGTCAAGTTTTGGGACGCTGGCGGTGGGGTGGATGTGGGTGCCACATGGTGCGTCAGACTGCATGACGGGTGGCTCGAGTGCGGCAGGGGTAGCAGGTACCTTGAAGCTTCAAACCGGTTCCTGTTCCCAGGCCGCTTTTCTCTTATTAACGAATTGCGCCGTGGTTCTGGATTCGCAACAATTTCCGAAGCACCTTCAGTTCGTCACGCATCACCCGTCTAACTACTTCCCACCCACCCAAAGACCATCCAACCAGCACCATGGCGGACACAGTTGAAGAGACCAAGCAGTCTGTCTCCGGAGAGGGAAACGCGGATGCCAACGCCTCGGTAGGCGCAAAGGGCAGTGCGGAATCATCGAGTAAGAAAACCGAAAGGAAGACGCCGAAGAAGCTGGGCGGAAAGAAGCCTCAACAGCAGCCCACTCCTGACGCCACTCCTGCCCCCGAAAGCGATGGCGAAGGGAAAGCTGAGCAAGAGGACGCAGAATCCAAGAAGCAAACCAACGGCGGCGACGCTGACAACGAGTCCGACGAACCCCAACAAGAAAAGTCAAAGTCGCAATCGAGACGCCGCCAGTCGCGTGGCCGTGGCCGACGGGGCGCAGACTCCGGTGCCGAGTCTGATGCGCGATCCGACGTGTCCCAGTCTGGAGGCCGTCGCAACCGCCAGCGCCAAAAGAAGGGCGGCAAGGGCGGAGGTCCGCTAGACGACATCACCGAGAACGTCCCTGGAGGCGATGCCGTTGGTGGAGCCGGCGAAATGGTCCAAAACACTGCTGGTAACGCCGTCAACCAAGTTGGAGACACCGCTGGCAAGGCTCTCGGAGGTCTCACTGGCGGCGGCGGCGGTGAAGAGGAGGGTGGAAAGGACGGAGGTGAGCAGCTGAGGCTGCGCCTAGAACTCAACCTCGACATTGAGATCCAGTTGAAGGCCAAGATCCACGGTGATCTCACGCTTGGATTGCTGTAAGTCAAGCACACAATCATCTATCAATGAAGCCAAATGCTAACTTTGCGCAGTAACTAGAAGACGGCCGAGGATGAATGCACGAAACGCATCGATTGTTATAATGGGAGTTCCCAATGGCGTTTGGTCTGGAGTTTTGCATGTAGTGTTACGATACGTATTGCAGTATAATACGACACAATGAACAACTTGCACCACCGTTCACTGCTGAACCATCGCGCTGGCATACTGATGGTGTTGATATTTTTGTTATCTCGTACAACTTCGTCATGATCATCGCAGCGTCAGGGGATGTCTCTACTAGGCGTGCTATTACCATGCCCTGTAATAATACTCCAGTAACCGAGAGCGCATGCGACGTCAACTCATTGAGCATGAAGCAAGCTATCCGAGCCTGAGTCTAAACTTGACAACTATTATGCCCAGGATCGAGTATTGCACAGCCGTTGCCCGCGAGATCAACGGTCCGCGTTAAGCGATCGGCGGGCGGACTAGCCACTCGCGTGGGCGCGAGACTGGTAATGCTTCGCCATCGCTACGCGCGTCGTCAGCATGTGTGCAAATGTCGGGCGACTTGCAAAGACGCGCGCAGATGCATCGTCTTGACATACGTCACGCAGCGGCTGTCAACCCGATTGGGACAGCAATGGCTGGTGTCGCTCGATGTGGGCCTGACGTCATCCGTAGCGAGCCTGAAACGGTGAGACGGTACGACGGATGAAAAGACAGGGGTGCAAGCTTGCGGCGGCGGCGTCCTTGCTTTGGGGGCTACAGAGGACCAGGCCGTTGCGAGTAATCTTGTTTTTGGAGTGGAGCTGCCCGTACCAGTCGTGGCGTGCGTAGGCGTGTAGTAGCTCCGCTTGCTGCTCGACCTTGCTGACTTCACATCTTGCTCGCATCCATCGCCGTTACCTCGACACCTCTGCGCAATTCTTCACCACCTCCACGCAGACAATCCCCATCTAGAACAGCCTCCGCCAACCGCCCGAGGCCTTGCATGATAGCAAGGATACCCGACGACATGGCCGACAAGGACTCCGACTATGAGAACCAGCCGCACGAGCGGTCGACGATGCAGCAGGAGAAGGCTGTGAACAAGGCCAAGCAGGACAAGCGCGAGGCGGGCCTGCAATCCGCCCGGTCGCGCTCCTCGTCGCGCCGCGCCCGCCGCAACCGCATCGAAGAAGACAAGAAGAACGGCAAATACATGCACACGACGTCGCTAGAAGCCCTCGAGGAAGCCGATGCAAACGGCGATCTCCAGAAGATGGGCATGTTCGAGCGTATCGGCCCGGACAGCACATCCATGGACGGGCCCGTCACATACGCCCGCGCCATGAGAGGCGAGATCCCCATGCGCGGCACCGACCCCAACCAGCCCTACCGCATGGAGCCGCAGCAAAAGGGCAGCGAGCTCAAGGACCAAGATGGATTGAAGCTGACGCTCGAGGCGAATCTGGAGATTGAGATTGAACTCAAAGCGAGTATCCGCGGCGATTTGACTTTGAGCTTGTAGTAAGTCGACCCCTGCCTTCGCCCTTTCGCTTACATCGAGCCTATACATGACTGTACGAGCGAGCGAAGGCGACGAAGTGTCTCTAGAAGATGAGCATGGACGAGTGCTAATTGGCATCACGCAGCCAATAACACAACTATCGTTGCCCTCTTCCTTCCAAAGACATCCTTCGCGTTCGCGCTCGCCGTGCAGTCTGGGCCTCGACCACCACCCCTCCTATCCTCCCCCCTCGTCTTTTCTTCTTCGCCAGCGTCCTGGCGAGACACGTAGTAACTGAACTTAACAGCGAATAGTGCTTGATGGATGTTGCATTCCCCCTCGTTCCACGACCGTCACGAACCCGCCCCGTAGCCGGCGCCGACCGCGAACAACGGGGTAGCGTTATATGGGGATACATGTTTGAGCGTTTAGGAGTTACACTGGTTGCTTTGTAGGGGCTCGGATAGCATGCGACAATAAAAGAATCGATAATGACCATCCATTTTGCTGGCGAGGCGGTCGCATTCCATGCTGTGCATACTTTGGTACCGAATGCAGGCTGCGCGGTGTCGCTCCGAGCAGCTTGTCAGCGCCCGCAGCCTGCAGATGCCCAGTGCCATCCGGCATATTGCGACAGACTGACATGCGCAGGGCAGACGCTCCAATGAATATCTTGAGACCGACAAACCTCCTGATAACCGGTAGATTTGCCATTGCGCCGGCCACGAGAGGGCTTCCTGGACCCTTGCAGCATACGTAAAATCGACCAGCGACCAGCGGGTAGAGCCAATAAGCCGCTGTGTCATGCCTCTCCACACCGAAATGTCTGGTAACGAGAGCCACAATGGCGAGGGTCTCGTACATGCGCTGCCCGCAATATTCTGCGACTGACAGCTTCACACCACATCTCATCTACGTACTGACACCTAAACCCCACCCCGTACGAGAAGCCGCTTCTAGCAATTAGTCCTACATCTCAGCAACAAGCGTGTCCCCTCTCTTTCCGATATCCAGTTCGCCGACGACAACATGGGTGCGTTCAGCGCTTTCGTTGCCCGCCGAATGGATCCCGAGGCCGCAGAGAATAGCGGCCTGCGGAGATGGCGCAGACGTGCGAATACGGTCGCAAGAGGTAAGTTCGTTTCGTCTGGCAAGGCTTGGAAGGGCAGTGATGCTGATATGGCATCGCGCAAAGGTCACGACGGCCAGGACGTCAAGGAGTCTTGGGCCAGGCGTGCGGCGAAGGGTCTCTGGGGACGCCTCCATAAACATGACGGTCGATCAAAGGATGTGGAGGCGACTGGGACTGCGTTGAGGCTCGAGCCGGACAACAACCATTCTACGGGGATGAGTACACAGCTGCTGATCTCTGCCCCTGTGGCTTCCCATTCCGATGACGTTCCGGAGAGTTCTATCCGCGATAACAATGCGACTGCGATTAAAGATTCCGGAAATGTACCAGCACCAGTACAGGATGCGCATGTATGGCAGCACCTTGCAATCGAATCATCCTCATCCACAGCCGACACCGTCTCCTCCTCAACGACCATTACCACCACCCACTTCGGAAGCCCACTGACACGCTTTCCTCATCATACACATGCGCGAAGTCCCACACCCGACTGGATCCCGGCTTCCACAAGTCCCCGTATCTCGGACGTCTCTACCGCCATCGAGTCGCCCTGGGGTTCTTATCTATCCGTTGACCCCCACCACGAGCTCATCAACAGCATCGAACGATTCCAATCCGCGCTTCTCGTGGACTCCAGCATGATTGACAACATCTGCGGCGACGTACGAGATATACTTGAGATAGCTAGCAATAACTTGCTGACCGTCGGATGCGACCTACAAAGGCTGCTGGTCATCTGGCGTAAGATCACCGGCAACGCAGCGAACGTTGCTGTGCTTGAGGCACTGTACCCGTGTGCCCTTGTAAGCAAGGAGCATGTCGCAAAAGCTTGCGTAGACATGAAGAAAGGGCTTCAGTCCTATCGCGACTGGTCGGACATTGTGGCTCGCAACAAGAGGATAGCCCAATCTCAGAACGCTATCAGTCATATGTGGTGCGCAGCCTTAAACCAGAAGATGAAAGCGCTCGACGTGCTCGAAGCGCTGGACTTTGACGATGTTGCTGCTCAGGTAGAGCTTGTTATGAGGAAGTACATCGGTGCTGGGGAGGAAGTCGCGACTTTAGGTGGACCAGCTGCACCTGCCAGCATGACTAACACCTCGCTGCCTAGCGCCATTGCCAGATGCCGCCGCACGTCGCCTTCACTGAGCAAGCGCCTGTTCTCTACACTGTCGCGACCAACATCGCGATACCCACAGTCATGCCAGTCGCCTACGCCTACCGCACCCACGTCAAGGCTATCACTCCCAGCAGCCTCGGTGCAACATGGAAGCCAGTTTACGCCAGCCGTAGGAAGCGCCCCCAGCCATGTTCAGCCTGCAACAGCTAGGTCGGGGTCGACTGCGTCTACCACGAATGCGCCCAGCTATGCCCGGCCGACGAAAGCAAGCCTGGGATGGCGCCAACCGGCAGCCAGCATGACTGCATCCAGCGTCGCAACAACTTATCGATCGCATCGTCCGGCTTCTGCGACTGATGGTTATCGGGCGACTCGGGTACAACTCCAGAGCACCCCAAACAACGAGCACAGAGGCCCTTCACCTGATCTCGAACACGCTCCGCCCATCCCACCCAAGTCCATCAAGAGACTGATATCTAGAGCGTCCTCCCCGTTGCCCGCTCACCTACGCTCGGACTCAGCCCTATCGCTGAACGACGTAGCCACTACACGGCGCAGTACCTGCTCTTCAATCTATACTAACAGCAAGCTTCCTGTAAAGGCCAATGGCACGAGTAATCCAAGTTTCCTTCGACCTGCCGGAGTTGATGCGCGGACCGAGCATCACGCGGACACGCCCCGCGTACCTACATCGCGTCTTGTGTGCGACAAGCTCGCCGTCCGCGTCGATCACAGTCGGAATCCCAGCATCACCACGCATGACATGGCCGTCAGAATGGACGAGATACGCGCGAGGATGAGTCGGATGACGGCAGGTATGAAGGCAAGGAAGTTGAAAAGAGAAAATAACGTCTCTAGAAGTGAGCTGACAGTGGATGCGACACAAGATGGGCGGACGAAAGCTACAGATGACGCGCACGCCCAGAAAGACCAGCGAGGATAGAGATGCAACAGACGCCAGACGTCACTGTGGGCAGCGAGCACAAATGCAGTGAACGCCTCCACGCGTGCCAGTTCTGCGTCCCATGCACCGATCGCGCTCCCGCGTCCCCGGTGTCCCGACAATCGACCCCGAATGTCCAAATATTCGACCAGTCTCGCTTATATCAAGTATTGGGTTTGCAGCAAGCGAGAAGCTTTGATGTCTCAGAGTCGCCATGTCTGACGGCAAATCTGCTGGCCTTAGCTCAGACATGAAGGATGGGGATCATCTTTGGTAATTCAGCTCGCTTCTCATTCGACGGACTTTGCATAGCACGATCGCTCTCTTTTTTGCGTTATCTTCACAAGCGTCTCGATCTTACGGCCCGTTCCCCTGCTGCACCTCGTCGCACCGAACCCAGCGTGGTGGCGCGTCCGCGGTGAATCAGTTCGTCCATGGTTGTGCAAGCAACGAAGACGCCACGGCGGCCATCTTATATTCCCTTCTGACTCACATCTGAGTGCGATGCGATACTTCGGTTCTTCATCTTCGTCCCATGGTACTGCGGTGGCGACGCGAACGAGCGACTCACAACTTCCGAATTCCATATGCACCCATCTAATCAGGTTCTCTCGAAAAGAGAAGTATCGTCAACACAAGAGCTTGCGTCCGCGGTGACCTATGAAATCGCAACTCTTGGCTGCTGTACCCGCAGTGTAACTTTGCTTTCCCGTCACACTAGACCCAAGATGGCTGATTATCTCGGACCACCTGGCCGCCACGCGTTCCAACCCTCACGGCTGGGTCGCTAAGAGATGGCCTTCCCGAGATGATCTGCAGCAACCGCCTCATCGTGGTCATAGCCGACCTGGCGAAGCCTCGAATCACTGGAATGGGGCCTTCTGTGGTGTCGATACATTAGCGGCCTGAGTCTGGGCTCGAGCACGCACGCTGCAGCAACCCAACGATTCACCGTCATATCACTATTGGCCTAACTTTATTAGGATAGAGAATAACGGACTATTATTGTGTAAATTCTAGTACGTGCGCAGTAATATTAGGGTGCGATATTAGTAACCTGTAGTATAATATTAGCAGGCCTAGGTACGATATCGCTAGGTACAAGACTAATATTAGCGGTAGCAGGTGCAATATTAGTAGGCCTAGAAGTAATATTAGACGTCTAATATCGCCTATTTTAATCTAAAATAGTAATTAAAATTATTCTAACTGCAATATAAATACGTAGATAAGACTACTCTTAAAATTATAAGTATTTTAGAAACTTTATAATTCTAGAAGCGCTCTTTATTACTATACTGCTTATAGGCGTAAACTTAAGATAAGCTCTCTTAGATATAATAACGTCTATAAGTACTATTCTAGAATTATATATATTTTAAAAACCTTATAATTTTAGAAGCGCCTCTTTCTAGTACGTAGCTTATAGTTATTAACCTAAGTTAAAATTTATTAAATACCTAGCTATGCGTAATTACAGCTCTAGACTAGTATAGACTTTAAAAACTTTATAATTCTAGAAGCGCTCTTATTATAATTACTAAACGCTATTTCTTATATACTATAATAATACTAAGAACTATAACCTTATAAATTCTAAATACTCTTACTAACTATATTAAGTTTTAGGATATAGACTCTAAATTCTAAAGAATGTAGCACGTGCACTCTAAAACTAGACTTAATATTCTTCTGTATTTAGACTAGAAGGATAAGCACTTAAGAATGTAGAGCCCGGAAGAATATAGCGCCTAGAAGAATATAGAGTCTTTGCGACATATAAACTGTACGCTAAATCTTAATTTTAGCGTATAATTAGGTTAAAATATCTCTAATTAATTTCTATAATAGAGTATAGTTTACTTAATATTACTCTATTATCTATATATAACGCAACGGAACAGAAAACCTTAGAAGAACTTAGAAAAGTTCTCTATATCTCTCTATATAATAGGTGCATAACGTTATCTAGATATCGCAATATAATATTATCTATAGGTAGTACGTAATAAAGCTTTCTGTATACCTCTAAGTTAGTTAACCTACGAACTTAGAACTCTAATATTATTATCTAATTTATCTCTGCCTTTAATAATTCTACCTACTATTCTCTATATACTTCTAATATACGATAGTGCAAAGAGTAGATTGCAGCTATCTACCTTATTATCTATTAACGTCTCTAATACTAACTAGTCTAGTAGAAAATCTTCTAATATGCACGCTGCGTATAGAGGCTTAATTACTAACGTAGTGTCTTGTATAGTTAAATTATATACTACTAGCATTTTAACCTACTAATTAAATTAAGTAATAGTTAGGCTAGTCTTAATATACGCGTTATTAACTAGTTATCGTAGAAATAATATAAACACGCCTATTCTAAATCTTGCCTTCTATTAGAGTTAACTCCGTTGCGTGCAAGGCGACGTTGCGTGCAACACTAGGACACCCTATTACCCTATTGTAGCTCCCGGAGCCACAGCTTTTCACGTCCTACCGCAAGGTACACAGGTCTT